ATTTTTTTAAGTAATTAATTTTTTCTCAGCTAAATAATGAAAGTCGAAAAACTTTAGGACGTATACTTCGAAATATCCTGTGCAAACTGGGAGAGTTTGAGAAAAAAATTCAAAACTTGAAAAAATCACCAGTATTTGGTGCAACGATGGTTTTTCACTTCACCCTTCGGCTAGTTTTGCTTGAAGCAAGCATTTTGGTAAGCCGAAATAACTTTAGAACGTATACGTCGAAATATCTCTACAAACAATGATAGATATAGTTTACGTAGTAATCAAAAATCTACAATCGATCCGATAGACAGTACTGACGACGATTTTTTTTCTGNTTTCAAAAATGCGCAATATATTAAAATCTGAGCTTTTAACATCCAAGTTATTTACAAAGCGACTAAAATTTCCTGCTAGACGAGATGAAATCTTTTTTATGAGATTAAAGTCTGGTTTTCCGCCTTTAAACTTTTATCTGCATAAACGGAAGTGTATAGACTCGTCTAAATGTAAATGTGGGAATGGAAAGGAGGATGCTGAACATTACTTCCTGCAGTGCCGTCTCTATCACAACGAGAAACAAAATCTGAAACACGAACTTCATTTTCTGACCACGATTACAGTCGACACACTATTGCTGAATGATCTTAATCTAGACGATGTTTCACTTCCTATTGTTTTAAAAGTAGTTGTATTTTACGTTAAACAAACTAACAGATTTGATGATTAGCTAGTAGAACGTTAAAAAGTTTTAATAAAATTTAAATTAGTCCACGCCACGTCTCTTCGTTTAGTCTATGTTATTTTCGCTTTTCTTGACGTTTTTAACTTTTTTTATATATTATGTCACTGTTCATCCTCCGCCTGTTACACTTTATCACTTAATGTAGCCTATATTATGCATGGCCTAAAATGGTTCGCCGCTGGCCTTACTATTTACACAATAAAGATATAGATCCAAAAGGATCTCTACAAACCAGTACAAGGAAAATCTAACTGGGAAACTCTCGATAAATACGTGCTAGACGTGTTCCTTCATTTGAATAAGAGAAACAGCGCGTCAAGACGCACTTTTTCTCTTGATTGAACCAAACGAAACTAGCCGTAAGACTTTTTTCAAATTATGTTTAGCTCTGAAATCCCCTCGAGAAGGTAAAAGTTAAATTTCTGCGTTAAACTTCATTCGAGATTTTTTTTGAATTTTTTTCCGTATACAATTTAACGTCTTCTACCGAACTACGCTAGAATCAACTCTTCATATTTAAAACTGAAGTTTTTGATAAAATTTTAAAAAATGGATCAAAAACTCAAAAATTTGTAGTATTGCTGAAAACTGACTTAAAAATCCGGAAACTCAAAAAATCTCTGAAACATACACTCTGAGGTGTCTGCTACCAGCTCGTGAAAAACAGGGAATCGCCTTAAGACTATTTTGACGAAAAAGCGTGTCTGGATATTCGTTTATATGACAAAACCTTCTAGTGGGTTCCTAATTATTCCATCATTCCACATAATATAAAACTACGTTTCAAATTCATAATTGTCTTACGCGTTTTTAATAAAATATTGTTTGGAAATCTTTCGAGTCAAATAAAAAAGGCCGAAGAACCACACAACTTGTATCTCTATCTTGAAGTTTATCATTATTTTTAGTCGTCATGCAAAAATCGTGGAAGTATTGGTAGGTGTACATTTAATACTAATTTGGTTTTGTAATACTTCTTATTTTGCATTTACCTCGTGTTTTTTTAAGGCGGGTATTTTTTGGCTGGACGCTCAATGCATTTTCTTCCGGTAATAAAGAAGGAGAACTTCGAACTGTCGGTTTCAACATTGTTACTAACTTATAGGTTGGAGCATCTTTATTTGCCAGCAATATTGGCAGTGGCCATTTTGTCGGTTTGGCAGGTAAATCTCATACCCGCATTCGTTTTTGGTACACTTAACATAAACATTGTTATATATCAACAGGTAGTGGTGCAAGTAATGGAATCGGCGTAGCCACATTTGAATTCAGTGTAAGATTTGATGAATAAAAAATATTGAAAATATGACTAATTCGTTTGATAGGGTTAGTAAAAGTTCAGCATGGGAAAATTGAGCACCGGAATCTTTCTCAACCAAGAAAAATCAGAGAAAATATTGAGCTTATGGGATCAGGAGTAATCGAAATTAAGTGTTTACACAAGTCCTGTTTCATTTTTCGACAGTAATTCGTTTTCTTATAGGCCATATATATTTTAATGATTTTGGGGTGGTTATTCCTCCCTGTCTATCTTAAAGCCGATGTAAGTGTTGAATTTGAATAAAGACAACGTATTTAAAACCATGATGCTTATAAGACAGGTCTTTACTATGCCCGAATTTTTAAAAAAACGATTTGGTGGTGATAGAATAAGGTTTTATCTAACAATTTTGGCTCTATTGTTATCAATATTTACGAAGATATCGGTTGATCTTTATTCTGGAGCGATATTTTTAAACCAAGCTCTAGGATGGAATATGTATGTGGCAGTCATTGCTTTAGTCGCTTTAGCAGCAATTTTTACCATTAGTGGTAAGTTCGATTGGAAAGTGATTTTAAATTCTTAAATAATGTGCACATTAATATTCATTTTTAGGAGGCTTGTCAGCTGTCATTTGGACAGATTTTATTCAGACAATCATTATGATTATTGCTGCTTTTGTTTTGATGATAATTTGCTATGTCAAAGTTGGTGGTATACAAATAATCAAAGAAATGTATCCATATGCAGTATCTAGTTCAACACTTTACAATGTTACTAGCTGTGGAATACCTCCCAATGATTATTTTTCTCTTATTCGACCACTGAACAGTGGTAACGGTCCACCTTGGGTTGGAATCATCGGTAAATCAAATTCGAAGAAATTCATCTCTTTCAATGAAACTCTGACATATTTTTAATATATTGAAGGAGTAATGATTCTGGGTATTTGGTACTGGTGCTCAGATCAGGTATTTGAGACTGATTGTTCGGAAAAATGATCTAAAAACTCTCTTTTCAGGTGATTGTTCAACGCGCTCTTGCTGCAAAAAATCTTACACACGCACGAGCTGGCTGTATAGTAGCAAGCTATCTGAAATTTTTACCATTATTTTTAATGATCATTCCTGGAATGGTAGCGAGAATTTTGTATCAGAACGAAATCGGTTGTTCGAGTCCGATAGAATGCAAACGAATATGTGGTAATGAGGCATCCTGTACCGATATTGCTTATCCATTGATCGTCATTCGATTAATGCCAAATGGTAAGAAGATAAAATTTTAGAAAACAAACACGTCTGATATACAGAATAGCATTGTTTTAGCTAAGATATACTACTCCGCAAAAGTAGCGACATCCCGTATAACTCAAGAACCATGATAGGTAGGAACTTCTAATTTTGTGCGGTCATAGCTCATAGCTCCCACCAAGTTTGAGCCTCTTCTACTCGGTCGTTCGTGAGATATAAGCGATTTATTTCTTTTCCGTAAAATATCAATAGCTCCTGACCTAGGAGAGATGAAAACTTTTTCTTTTTACTAAAATGTAGCCATGACTCCTTATCTACGGTATGAATTTCGTGAGTTATATCTCACAAACAACCGAATAAAAGAGGCCCAAACTTGGTGGGTGATCAGCATTCGGTAAGAGCTATGACCGCACAAAATTAGAAGCCCCTATCTATCATGGTTCTTGAGTTACACGGGATGTCGCTACTTTTGCGGAGTATTGTATCATATTGAATAGTAAGAAAACTTCGAGTTTTTGTGTAGGTTTGCGTGGGCTCATGTTAGCATGCATGATAGCTGCATTAATGTCTTCATTGACATCAATATTTAACTCGAGTTCGACAATATTTACCATAGATATTTGGCAACGATTTCGTCAAAAAGCTCCACAATGGGAACTTCTAATTGTTGGAAGGTATTGTTAGTAGTTAGTGTTATCTGTGAACAATTTATTTGTATATATTTCTTCTCTAGAGTATTTATCTTAGTATTAGTTGGTATTAGCATTATTTGGATTCCAATTATCTCAGCGTTTCAAGGAGGAAAATTGTTTGATTATATTCAGTAAGTAAACTTTTAATCGGTCGTGCAGAATGGCGTATGATGTGCGATATCTGACTAATTCGATTGTTGTTGTATTTTCTTCACTAGATCAATAACCAGTTTTCTCGCACCCCCAATATGTGCAATCTATCTTCTGGCAATATTTTGGAAAAGAATCAATGAAGAAGTATAAATGAGATTCGATATCGACAAGCGTTCTCAGATACGATATAAATACCTTGAACATTTTAGGGAGCATTTTGGGGCTTAGTAGGTGGATTAATTATCGGTCTAATACGATTTGCATGGGAATTTTCATACACTGTGCCACCATGTGAAAAGGCATATTTAGACATACGTCCGCAAGCAGTTAAATTCCATTATCTGTTTTTTGCAATTCTTCTGTTCGTTTTAACTTGCATGATTACGATAACAATCAGTTATTTGACAAAACCAATTCCAGATGAGTGTGTAAGTGGTAAAAGTAAATACTATCGGTTAATAATGTCACGTTATTATTGTTTTCGAAGCTTCACGGTTTAAATATATTTGATCTTCGAAATCCTCTTAAACCAAAACCAATCCCAACAAAACCTGGTATATGGCATAAAGCGGACACGTATTTTAATGAGCGTCCGAATGAAACAAACACTCAACAATCTGCCATTACCGACGTCAGACCGTCTGACCAAAAAACGAGTTTCTTCCAGCGGGGTAATAAATACACTCTAAATACCAGTGTTTTTCAGTTTTTCAACGAACTGAAAAAACAATGGAAATTTTGTTCTTTATTTGTTCCAAATAGAGAGAGAACTCAAATTCTGTTCTTCACCTCTGAAAAACTCGAAATATTTTTCGTTTTTTGGAACTTTTTTAGAGTGTATTCAACTTCAGATAGCTCGGGCAGTTAATTTCTGTTGTTTTTATAGATTCAAGCAATAAAAACTTTGTGTATTACTCGAAAACAGCGTTATCATGGATTTGTGGCGTTGAACATCAAAACGAACATATAGCGGAAGAAGAAAATACAACACCAAGGGAAACACCAGCACCAGCATCCACTAATTTGTTTTGGAAAAAAATTTGTAATTATAATGCTTTGTTGGCTATTGGATTTTGCTCGTTTGTGTGGGCATTTTTTACTGATTATCGAATAGATAAATTCTGAAAATAATATTCTTCAAGTTTTAGACGTTAAAATAGAATATGGACTATTCACGTACAGACCATTGTCATTTTTTTTGTGCATAATACATTCAAATGCAAATGATCATCTCGTTCTCTCCCTTATCTCTTTCATATATAATGTGATTGGTTTTCTTTCGCAACGTGTGAGAAATGGATTAAAATTAAAGTTAGCTTTTAGTAGAAATACGATGTAAATAATTGCGATTTTAGGTTACTAAGATCTTTCATCCAATATTAAGATAAAAAAAGAAATGGCTGACAAGCCATCCGATACTGGAAATTACTTTACAAGTACCTCTTGCTATGAACATCTAGATAAGTCTTCTATTCTGGAAAAGGTTTAATAGAAAATCTTAGATCTAATATAAGACAGTAGACATAAACTGCTCTTATTTCAAATCCTAGCTGTTACCATTAATACAATCAGCTAAGAGAATGTTATTGCTGTATCTGACATCACAACATGTCTGACCGATTATTGGCCGCCTATAGATGATAGGAAATACGTTATGATTCTTAGTGAAACAACTGTGACGGCAAAAAGATTTTTATATTCAAGACTTTTGCGACAAGAATAGCATGTCAAGAATAAAAAATAATGAAAATTGTTGGTTTAAGCTATTGTGATATTAATTTCAATCAAAATATCGAATAAGATCGATTAATAAAGTAAAATAAAACATTGTAATTTTTTTATACATAAATTCTTTAAAAAACTATCTTTCTTATTTCTCTTATACTCTACACATATTTATTCAAGTATTGTCATTGACCAAAGATGTAACCGTTTCAAAATTCTTAGAACGGGAAGGATGCCGTTCTGAAAATTGTCTATCACTACAGAATGGCTTGGCCGTTCGCCGTTATCGGTTACAACTCTGTCATTGACAATATTTGAACTGATTTACTGGTTCTACAGACGACAAAACGGTTGACAGGTCGATCAATCGATGCTTTTGAATAGACGGTAATTTGATCGATTCCATCTATGATTGTCAAGAATAAGCTGGCATATACTTTTGTATAGACGGAAATTTTTGATAATAATTCCAAATGTATGTCAGAAACTATCAGGCACTTTATATATATATTTGGCTTAGTAAAACAAAAACGGTAATCAAAATTTATGATTCTTTCAACTCGATAAACCCTTTAACCTGATATGGTTCTCGCTGTTGAGGTCTAAATTGACATAGCCCTTTAGTTTTTTTATCAAATATATTCTTGAGTTGGCAGTCATAGATGAGCTGACTTTATACATCAGAAAGATACAAAACAAGGATAAGAAAACGTTTCAATCAACTTTCATCCTCTTTTACAACAGAAATTGATCTGCTCTACAATAAATATCAGATTCTCTCGTATCTCTTCTTCTTGATTTTCAATACAGTCGTTCAATGAGAAGTCGATGATATTTTTCAGTCATAGTAACAAATATCGTTCAGAGTTGACGTTTGTTCTGTCGCAAATATGATCGAAGCTCTAGAGTTGAACCAAAAGAATTTTGTTATTCAAATACTTAATATAGCTATATAATAAAAAAAGGTCAGCATTTCATTTATTATTCTTGAAATAAGATGTAATCTGTATGAATTAATAACTAATTATAATAGTTAATATCTTACAATGATTTGTAAAAATATACTCAGTTTTATATTGGTTAAAAAAATCTATTAAAGACGTTTTGGTTTTGTTTATCTTCTCTGTATGAGGAATTTTCCACAGAAACGCCTGAGGATCAATTCAAGATGACACGTTCAAATAAATGTTTATCTGTGTGTTGTTTTACTGCTCGATAATAAAGAGCAGTATTAAAATAGAATAATTCATCACCATTTGCAAAGTTTTCAGTTTTGGATAAAATACCTGCTAATTGTCATCATTCATCATTAAAGCAGTTCAATAACTGATGACTGGCTATGCTATTTTTGATGGTTATATTCATTATTATTAGCAAAAAAAAATACTACATCAGAAGCACTATACGGTCATATTGATAGATAATAAATGGTTGTTGACGTTTAAACAAATGGAGCTCAATTCTGGATGCAAAGTGAATAGGATTATCGAGTTGTTATCAATATGAATATTGATTTCCAATCAGTTATTAATAATCTGTTGAATAGAACTAATGTTAAATGTCATTTGAGAATGTTTTTTCATACGAGATTTAATCAGTGATTTGATTGCTATCTTCGTCTAGTATAACGAGCTGAGATCTATCAGACTTGCATGACCGATATTGTGAAACGTAAATATTTTTGATTTTCAGAATAAAATTGTTCTTGTATTTTTATCAGTTTGACTGAAAATTATTCTACTTTGCATAGGAGTAAAGATATCTACAAGTGAAATATTGTCTCAGCTCACTAGACCATCTTAAACTTCTGTAGTCAATTAAATTCGATGCTGGAAAAGTCTCTATACTAGGTATTTGGAGGCATCACTACTATGCTATAGAAAAAATAAGAAATAAAGTGTTAGTTGATAACATTAGAAATTGTGAAAAGTTTATCGTGCAAGAAAAAGGTTAAATATTGATCTATTTCATTTCATCATTTTCAACTTTTACTAATTCATTTTCATACATTTTCTTTCTTTGTGTTTTTGCCATTTATGTGTAAGCGTTTTTTCTTTTTAAAATCATGTCTTTAGATGATTAGATAAATAACATGGTAGCAATTATTGGAACGACACTACATTGGTCAGATATTCTTGTACTATTCGCGTACTTTGTATTAATTATCGGATTTGGTATATGGGTATGTTTTTGAATGAGGAAACAAAACATATATCGTCGAATTCTAAAAAGTAGACGAACGTTTTATTTCTGAAAAATTAGAAGAATATTGATGTATTTTTCGGAAAGTACTTCCTCCACTCGTTCCTGAAATTTGTACTTCTACTAATAGATCCGTTTTAATTATACTAAACGAGATAATAATACCATATCAGAAATATTTTATTTATTTTAGAGTTCATGCAAAAATCGAGGAAGTGTAGGTTAGTTACACACGAAAGCATCAGTTACCTACTTTTATCGATATATTTCTAATTAAAGGTGGATATTTTCTGGCTGGAAGAACGATGCATTTTTTACCGGTAATGTCTCGTCATTTAGCTTGATAAAAAGATAAGATATTCTAAATTCTACTGAAATCTTTATAATAAGGTTGGTGCGTCCCTATTTGCAAGTAATATTGGATCTGGTCACTTTATCGGTGAGCGATTTAACATCAATATTAAGAGATTACATTGATCCAATATTACTTTTCTGTATCTTTCAGGTTTGAGTGGCTCAGGAGCGTCAAGTGGTATCGCTGTTGCAGGATTCGAATTGACAGTACGTATATGTCACATTCTATTAACACAAACATTTTTAAATTAATTATTATAGGCAATTTATATGCTAGTTGTATTAGGATGGATTTTTGTTCCCGTCTACATGAAATCAAAGGTATAAATTTAGTTTTCATTAGAAAAACTATTATTCCACAGTATCATTTTGAAGGTATTTACAATGCCTCAATATTTGAAAATGAGATATGGCGGTGATCGAATTCGAATATATTTAACGCTTCTGGCACTGATGTTATCTATATTTACAAAAATATCTGTTGATCTTTATTCGGGAGCCGTATTCCTTCAACAAGCACTCAACTGGAATTTATATATTTCTGTCGTAGCGCTTATACTACTTGCTGCATGTTTTACAATCGGAGGTGTGTGTCCTAATTCTATTAATACACTAGTTAGATATGTGATAATAATTGTAGCTGTTTTGAACTTCATACCTTTATTTGTTTGATATTTCGACTTTTAACCGGTCGTTTTCAAAAACATAGTAAAGGTATGAAGTTCAAAGCAGCTACAATTATTATCACATTTTTGACTCGAAAGTCGTTGCTCTCGTACAGAAATTTTGACTAGTTAGATATCTTCTGAGATTTTTAGGTGGATTAACCGCAGTTATTTGGACCGATTTTATTCAAACAATAATTATGATTTTTGCGGCATTTATTTTGATGATTATAAGTAAGAAAAGAAAGGATAATATTAATTTAATTCATCTTTTCACTAATATTCAGAAAAATGTTAGAATTCATGATATTTAAATTTTTCATAACATATTTTTGTATTTCTGCTAAGGTTTTGCGAAAATTGGCGGAATACAAAATGTGCGCGCACTATTTCCTTATGCAGTAGCGAATAGTACACTATATAATACGACAACGTGTGGCATACCAAGTGAAGATTATTTTTCACTTACAAGACCTTTTAATGCTGATTTACCTTGGTTTGGCTTGTTGTTGGGCAGCACAATTGTTTCAACATGGTATTGGAGCTGTGACCAAGTATGTGTGTATAATATGAATTGAACCGTATATTGTAAATATTATGTGCTGCGTTCAGATTGTGCTGTGTCTAGAGATGCATCAAACCCGGATATTTGTGTTTGGTGGATTTGGATTTGGTAAAGATTTGGAATTTCGGATTTGTAATCCCAAACACTTTGGATTTGGTCTGGTCACCAAACCCAACGAAAGTATTATTATCGTTAGTAAACTGTTAGACATATGCCCATAATAAATTTCGAACTTTTCGACCGAGATTTTTGCGGAAAAATGAAAGTTGTCCAAAAATCCTGAAATACATACCAATCAATTCAGGTTTTTATGCTAATTCCAAATATGACATTGGTTATGCAGAAAAATAGGAGTTTAACAATGAAAACTGCAAAATACAAGCGAAATTCCTTGTTTTTTGCTACCTGTTTCAAAAAAGTTAATTTTCTCAACAACGGAACGATATTTTCCAAAACCGATACTTAACTTTTTTCGTGCTATTATGGCGAGTAGAATGATATAAAATATTGGCTTCAACTCCTATCTAGAAAGACTTGAAGCTTTTAAAATTTTAAAAAACGGCTTATTTTCTAAAAACTAATGTAAAACTCAAACACAGTGTATTTGGAACCTTGGAAGTATTCCATGCTTGTTCTCCGTGAAAAAACTGAATTGATTGGTATGTATTTCAG